CTTTCTCAGACCCTGGTGAAGCCGCGCAGGAACAGCAAGGAGAGGGGCCGTTCCTCGGGACCCCTCAGACCCCCTCCGGGGCCATGGCCGGGGACCTGGGGCCTGAGGCCATTGGTGCTGTCAGCCCCGGCCTGCTCCTCCCCCTGACCCTGGCCCGTCCCTCAGCCGGCCCTAGGGATCCCCCCCCGGGGCCTGGGGGCTGGAAGGTTGGGGGTGCCCAGGCTGGGTGGCCTTTAGAGGTGACCGCCTTGGCTGGCTGGAGGGGTGCCGGCAGAGTGGCCGCTGGTGAGGAGGCCGGCTGAGTGCTACTTGATGTGGGTGACAGGTGCTTGGGGTGCGGGAGTCCTGAAATAGAGCAAGGAGGGGAGGGGAGGCCTGCAGCCTCCACCCACCTCCCGGCCTCTGCCTCAGGGTCCCGGGGGTTTCTCCTCTCTCTTCTCCTGTGGCTGCTGGGATTTTAGGGCAGGGCAGAGATCTGCTGGGGTGACCATTGTGGGGCGGGGGACCCCGTAGAGGGCAGTGGGGACAGAGTGTTGAAGGGGAGAATCTGCCCCTGGAGCGAGCTGGTTGGACAGGGTCGGATCTGCCGGGAGGGGAGGGCCGCACCTGGCCTCCTATCTGGGGGCCACTGTCCAGCCAGGCCCGCCTCAGCCCCAGGGATCCTGAGACAACCTTCCAGAACTTCTCCCAGGGACAAGGGGCCCAGGAGCCCCCGCCCAGAGCTCCGTCCCGGTGTGCACCCTCAACCTCTCGTGGGAGCAGGAAGGCTGGCTTTGACGTCCCCGCCAGGGCGGCCGCCCGAGTCCCTGTGTCCTCTGGAGGCTGGGCTCCTTGTGGCCCTGCAGGGCTCAGGGAGGGGGGCCCCGGGGAGGGCCACCCACAACAGAGACGGGTCAGGCCCGGCCACGTTCCTCAAAGCCAGGGGAGGACTTGGCCCACAGAGGTGTCAGCCACGGGACAGCCATCGTGAGTGTGTGGGGTCAGGGTTGGTGACTGTCCCGTGCTCTTAGCCCTTCTTGGGCCTTGTGACACAAGGTGTCCCACGCTGGGCACCTCGAGGGAGTGGGGACAGGGTCCAGCCCATTTGCTGCCCTGAGAGGTGGCCTCTGCCCTTCAGCACTGTGGGCACTAAGGCCAGACATTTCTGGGTGGCATCCTGGGCACTGCAAGGTGCTGGGCAGTGTCCCTGACTCCACCCTCTCCGGGCCAGGACACCCCAGTTGTGACGACCACACATGTCCCCAGATGTGGCCCGGTGTCTCTGGAGGAAGCACAGCCCCTGGTTAGGAGACCCCCATCTGTGATTATTCCTGGCCTTGGAAACTTCAGGGGGAGACGCTCCCTGCGGGGTGCTGGGGGGACTGGGCGCCACACAGGGGCCACGCCACTTGAGTTTACATAGCGCCTTGGATCCTTTCCATGTGTATCAGAAGATTCAAGTTTCCATGATGAATGTCACAAAGTCTCCTCTTCAGATGAATTCAGTGCAGGTCAATCAGGCCAGTGGACCTGGAAGGAGGCGGCCAGGGCCCAGTGAGGGGCCTGGGGCCCAGCTCGCTCTGGGCAGGAGGGGACTGAGGCATCGAGAAGGTGAAGTCCAGGGCAGGCTGGGCTGCTGCCTCTGCTGGGCGTCTTCTCTGGGTGAGGGAGGAGGCAGATGTCCCCCACTGCCCGCCACACGGTCCCCGCACAGGACACGGTAGGCCCAAGGCCCGTCTCAGCAACCTGGCCTGGAGTCCTAACTGTGCCTTTTGCGGTGGCCTTGGATGAGAGGCTCCATCTCCCCAGGCTCAATTCCTCGTCCACCAAGCTCCGGCCGTGGACACCTGCCTGGGCTCCTGGGCCATGGGGGTGGCCCGGCCTGGCTCCGCCCCTCCAAGAGCCACAGCGCCACTCCAGGCTCCTGTGCCCAGTGCCGCGTGGAGCCCCATTCCTGTCCCTGATCCTACACCTGGGGGTGCTTGTGGCGGTGGAGGGGGCCTCTGTGGCAGGTCCCTGGGGGTCCCGAGTGCTGGCTGTGTTCAAGCAGAGGACAGACGGGGCATGGAGCCTCCTGCCCCACTTGGGCGACCTCTGGGCCCTGGCTTTGCTCTGGGCACTGACAGGGACTGTTCCTGCAGATGCTTGGGAAGCCGGGGGGCCAGATGGGGCGGGCTGAGCCGCCTGGCCAGGCTCCTTGATGGGCAGGCGCAAGTTCAAGACTCCGCTCACTCAGCGCCCCGGGCAGGTCAGTTTCCCTCTGTGCTCTGCCGCCCGGGTCTCGGGATCATCTGGCCTCGCAGCACAGCGGGCCCGTGTCGGGGAGCAGCAGGACGGCGGTCAGGGCCCTGTGAGGGCCGGGGCAGGCGGTGGTCCCAAGGTGCTGCTCCGATTTTGTTTTAAAAATCTGATGAAAGATCCACAGTGTGACATCAGCCATCCTGGCCAAGTCCAGAGGCCGGGTCCCAGCCCTGGCACAGCCACGCGCGGCCACACAGCTGCCCACTGGCCACCCCCAGAGTTTCCCATGGACCCAGGCTGAAGCTCTGTCCCCTAACACCAGCCCTGCCAGCCCAGCCAGCCGCTTCCTGGGTCCCCTCTGTGTCTGACTCTCCCCCTACGGGCACCGCCAGGCCACCCCTGTTGGCCAGGGTCACATTGGCTTCCCGTTTGCTTTCTGCAGTGGTGGGAGTGGGAGCCGCGGCAGCCGCGGCAGCCTTGGGCACGTCAGGGAAGCGCCGTGCTGGCCTCTGCACCTGGCCCTGCTCTTCCTGCGGAGGCTGATGCTCCAGGGTTGGGCAGGGCCCCAAATCAGGCCCGCGGGGTCACATGGGGTCTCGCGTGGCGCAGGTTTCTAGGGACCACTGGGCTGACCTCCACACATGCCGGCCATCGTCCACCTCGAGCCTGTCATTCGGCGCCGGCTTTCTCATTCTGTTGATGATCATGACCGGGCAGGGCTCCGGCTGCCCCAGAGCCACCCCTCTATGGCCCTGTCCCACCGGGACTATTTTGGGCTTTGTGACCAGCAGATCAGCCTCACCCCGCTGCGTGCCTGTGGCAAAGGGCAAGGCTTGGCAAGCCCCCCAGGTCCCCTTCTCCAGGCCACTCCCAACTGCCTTCCCCTGGGGCTGCCGATGCGGTGGCCCCGGGCGCTGGGTTTCACATACCCTCCCAGCGGTCAGAGAGGCAGGTGGTCAGTGGTTTTGACCCTGTAGAGCAGAGAGTCTGGTTGTCATAGTAACAGTCGGCTCCTGTGGGTCTGTTCCAATAAAACTTTATTTATAGGCTCTGAAATTTGAATTCCATCTAATTTGCATGTGTTGGAAATTTCAATTTTTTAAAAAAAATTTTTTCCCTTGATCATTTAAAAATGTAAAGCCAGTAGCTCGGTGGTAGAGAACTTGCCAAGCACCTGTGAAGCCCTGGGTTTGATTCCCAGCACCGCTCATGAAAAATAAGTAAATAAAAAATAAATAACAAAACTGCATCTAGGTGGGGTGGCCACAAGTGCCACCCCAGCTGTGTGGGAGGCTGAGGCAGGAGGATCGCAAGTTCAAGGCCAGCCTCAGCAACTTAGCAAGATTCTGTCTCAAAATAAGAAATAAAAAGGGCTGGGATGTGGCTCAGTGGCAGGCTCTTGCCCAGCGTGCCTGTGGCCGGGGCTCCACCCCAGGACAGCAAAACCTTCAGATCCACCCACCCACCAAACCCCTCAGCCCGGTTTATTAGCGTGAGTGCAATGTACTGTTATTTGATTTACCCTAAAAGTTGAAAATACCATTGAGCAAAACACGAGTCACACCGTGTGCTCGGTTTTTGGTTTGTCAAGTCCTGAAGGATGTCCTGAAGGGTTGTATGAAGATGGTTAATTCCCACGTCATGTGTCCACTCAATGTGTGTACTTCAATTTTTTTTTTTTAGTATGTTCATCTGGTTGTGCCACCATCACCACCACGCAATTCCAGAACCTTCTATCACCCCAAAAGGAGACCCTGCCCCGTGAGCAGTTCCCCATCTCTCCCCAGCCCTGCACCCCCAAATGCACGTCCCGTCTTGGACTCCCTGTCCTGGACTCTCCTGTCCCTGGGTCACACACTGTGGCCTGTGTGTTGGCTCTCACTGAGCACCAGGTCCTCAGGTCCGTCACCTGGCTCCTGCTGTGCGTGGCCACCTGGGCGGCAGTGCTTGGTTGCCTGCCCCTGGGGACTCTCCTTGCATGGTTTTGCTGGAGACACCAGTTTCCAATGTCTCCTTTCTTCTGTGCTGCTGGGAGGGAGCCCAGGGCCTGGGCATGCGGGGAGGGCTCTCTGCCCCCGACCCAAGCCCCAGCCCTTCTGTCCTTCTGCGTGTGTCCAGGAGTGGCCTCGCTGGGTCATGTGGTGATGGTTCTCTCCTTTCCCCACTCTTGACTTTGTGCAAACGTGTCTGACTGCAGGGGTTGGTGGCCTCTGGCCCGAGGGGGCTGTGTCTGCATTTCTGCAGATGGCCACTGGGTGTCACCCTCAGCTCGAGGGGCACCTCACCCCTGCCCCCCCCAACCCTGGTCTCCACCAGTTTCCAGACCCTTTGGGCAGAGCTAATGGCATCTGGAGAGGGCGAGGGGCCAAGCCCTGCTCCTCAGGGTGCCTGCGCCCCGGTTCCGGGCGGAGTGGGTCTAAGTGGTTCAAGGCTCCAGGGCTTGGGCAGGTGAGCTCCGTGGGGAGGGGGCAGGAAGCGTGGCTTTACGGGGGCTTTACGGGGGGCTTCGGGTGGGGGAAGATTCTGCCTAATCCTTACAAGTAGGTATTGGCTTAGCCTCGGGGGGGGGGGACAAGGACAGGCAGGAGCTGGCCCTGCCCAGGGAAGGGAGGCCCCTGGCCGGCTCTGAGCCCAGCTGTGGGCTGACGTCCACAGGAAGTGTGGCATTGGGAACAGGCCCCGGGGCCCCAGGCTCCCACCAGGCAGAGACCATCAGCAGCCAGGGCTCCCGGCACTGCCCCGGGGTCCTCCCGGCCCCTTGAACAGAACACACTGCCCCATTATCAAAACAGGACGGGTTTAATCCTCAGGCTGGGGCGAGGGCGCCAGGCTGACCCGGGCCCCACCTGAAGCGCGCACCACGCCCCCAGTACAGACGCCCAGAGGGTCGGCCGCCGGCCCCGCCAGGACTCCGCAGGCCTGGCCTCCTGTGGGCCGCGCAGCGCCTAGCCGCGGTTCAAGAGCGAGTTCTGAATGTCCTCCAGGGCCTCGCGGAGCAGCTCCTCACGCGGCTTCGTGCCGTCCAGGTACACTGAGGGGGGAGGGCCACCATCAGAGCTGCGGCTCCCTGGGGCTACTCCAGGAGGGTGGTGACTACTCCAGGAGGGTGGTGACCCGTGCAGGGGAGGCAGCTGACCGCAGAGTCAGGCTGCTGGAGAACACACTGGGGACCAATGGCAAGAGGGACTGAGGAAGGACTTCAGGAGGGACTTCCAGGTTTCCCAAAAGGAATGCAGAGGCTTAAGGGCTGAAGGATGGGAGAGGCTGGGCTCTGAGCCCCGCAGGGCCGGCCTTGTCCGGCTCAGGGACTTACCCACGTCCACGCCGTTGGCCTCCATCTCTCGTTTATACTTCTGGTACATGGGCCACACGTGGCCGTCAAAGAGGCCCGGAGGATCAGGGACGGCGTAGGTGCGGGTGCTGCAGCGGGAGGCCACAAGACAACAGCTGTGTCACAGAGGGCGGGCCAGGTACACCCCTGGGCCCCGAACCCAGGCCACGGTGGGACCCAGGCCACGGTGGGACCCAGGCCACGGTGGGACCCAGGCCCTCCCGAGGGGGGACCCCAGGGCAAAGCTCCAGCTTCCCGCATGTTCGCCCTGAGGACGCGGGGACTGCAGGGCAGGTGCACTGTCCAGGTCTGGGTTCGGGCCGTCAGTGCAGCTGGCCCGGGAGGCCTCAGGACCAGCAGGAGTTTCTGGCTGGTGACCATCCCCCCGAAGGACCAGGACAGGTCCTGCCACTCACCTCCTCCTCCACTTGCACTCTTCATAGGGGACAGTCAGGAAGTATCTGCGGCTGTACAAGTCCACCAGGGGCCTGGGCAGAGGGTGGGGACATGGCCAGCACCTGTGAGTGGCTTCCAGGCACTTTCCTGGTGGTGAGGGCTGGGGTAGGTCTGAACCCATTAACTTAGGGGTCAGAGAGGGACCTAGAATTGGCCAGCATCTCTGCGGCAGGCCCTCACGATAGAATCACCCCACTCTTTCAATTTAGGTGGGCACAGAGAGGTACGCTGCATTGCCCAAGGTCACAGAGCAAGGCTGAAAGTCCAGCCCCGGGTTGTGGCTCTACCAGAGAAGGCCGAGGTTCTAGATGATTCTCTCCTTGGTCTTCTGTCTGTCAAATGAACTATGGTGGGCCCAGCCCTGGGGGAACAGGGTGGGGGCGTACTTGCAGCTGTAGAGCAGGAAGCCTTCCAGGAGAAGGATGTGGGTGTCCGGGGCACCTGGCTGGACGCTGACCCCGTGGGCGCGGGCGAACTTCTGAGGGTTGCTCAGCCAGGCCTGCACGGTGCTCAGCATGGCCTCCATGTCCAGGGACTCCAGCACTGGGGACCAGAGCGCAGGGTCAGGGGAGGCCAGGGGCCCAGGGACCATGGGGGACCATGGGGACGGGGGCAGCATCGTCCTTACCGTCCCACTGTTTGAAGCCGTCCTCCCCAACCGCTATTTGGTCTTGGGGCTGAAACAGAGGAGCCCGAGCCACAGGCTCAGTGCTCGCTCTGCCCGGCCGCTCTGCCTGGGCCCAGTGGGTCCCCTCACCCGTCCCCGCTCCCCCCACCCTCCGCAAGGCCGTTCTGCAGACGGGAATGTGGAGGTGCGGCGGGGTCAAGGGTGCGTGGCGGAGCCTCGTGGTCCTGGCTGGGCTGGCCGCCGCTCTCCGTGGGCCGCCTGGGGCTCCCCGAGCAGGGGCGGGTGCTGGGCCCACAGGGGCTCAGAGCGCCCCTCCCCAGCTCTCTGCCCAGGGCCACCTGGAGGCTGGGCAGGACTTGCACCTGTGTGTGGCCTGCGTGGGCCCCGGGCAGCAGAGTGTGGGGTGCAGGGCCTGGCTCCCGCCCTGTCCTCCCGGCCAGGAGGGCTACCTTAAAGAAGTCATCCTGGTGGATCACGCAGCAGTTGGGCAGTGAGCGGTGGAGACCGTTGGCCAGAGTGGTCTTGCCGCCGTTGGTCATGCTGTGGAGAGAGCGTGCTGTGGACCTGTCCCCGAGAAGCCGGCAAGGCCAGGGCCTGGGCCCGGGCAGGTGGGCCAGGGAAGGACAGACCCTCGCCACAGAAACACTAGCAGCTCACTCCAAACCCCGAAGGGGGCAGTGGGCTGTGACCATCCCGGGGCCACCTCGTCTGTGGCCAAGTGCACGAAGAGAGAAATGGGAAGACTGGGCCTACGACGGGCCCGGTGGCCTGCCGTCCTCCCCCGAGCTGAGGCGGGAGGACCCGAGTTCCAGGCCAGCCTAGCCAGGCAGGGAGACCCCCCTCACTCCACAAGGCTGGTGTGGCGCAGGGGACAGTGCTGGCCCAGGATGGGCCGGGCCCTGGGCTCCAACCCCAGTGCTGGGGGGACACGGGAGCAGGGATTGTCACAATAGGGTGACCTGCTTGTCCTGGTGTGCCTGGGGGTTTCCTGGTCTCAGCACTGAGCACCCCAGGACAGTCCTGGGGACACTGGGTCAGTGGGTCACCCCGTGGCAAAGACAACAGGTCATCTTGACTCCCAGGGGTGACTGAGGACCATGGGGTGAATTTCAGGGCTTCTCTGGGAATCAGTGACAGTCTGCACCGCTGTCCCTGTTCTGGGGTGTTGAGGTATAAGGTTGGATGTTGGGGTGCAGAGGGCTCCCGGGAAGGGGGACCCCTCATGCTAAAAGCAGCAACAAACTGATTACTGCCGTCCTCAATCAGCTCGGGCCCTGAGGGCCCCTGTCCAAAGACCCCAGGAGGGTCAGGAGGGGGCGGCAAAGCCCACAGACAGCGCTGGCCCCTGGGGTGGCCGCAGAGCCTCCTCCCACTCGCTGAGTGACCTGGGCGGCCCCTAGGCCCACCGGGATGGCTGAGCGCTCTGCCCTGGGGGACCTTTTCCTATTTTTCTCACCGATTTGTGCTTTTCACCCTGAGGATATTTGGAGAGGGAAACCCGGGCACTGCACCCAGCCCCTGGCCACCTGCTGGGGCGCTCACCCTCCACGCAGAGACCCCGGGGATCCAGGCCTCGTGGTGACCTGGGGTCCATTCATGAGCAGCCTCCCTCGGCCTCCCGCCTCAGCCCCTGAGGGCCGCGCTCACCCTCCGATGCCCACGATGAGCTTCATGTTGGCGGAGGGCGGGGACAGCGCAGCGGGCTCCCAGGCAGCGCCGCTGGGCACGACCTGCCTTCGGCGGCGTGTCCCGGCTTCATTGAGAAAACCCGCCGCCTTTATAGGCCCCGCAGCCCGGAGGCCGCCCCGGGGGAGGCGGCCGGCGGGCCGGCGGCACCTGTCCCAGCGATGGAAATAGCCCCGAGCTGCCTTTGCCTAAATTAGCCGCGGGCTGCGCGGGTGCGCGCGGGGCTCGTCCCCTCTGCGCGCCCCCCTCCCGCTCCTGGCCGCCGCACTGTCACCGCCGCACTTTCCCTCCCTAAAAATATCATGCCGCTGTGTGTCCCCTGGCCTGACCCTGACATTAAGCCGGCTTCTCTGACGCCAAGGAAGGGGAACCGAGCCTGCTCCCCGCTCTGTCCCTTTCCCAGGGCATCGGGATCCCGTGGCCAATCACGAGACCCCGGCCAGCAGGACACGGGGCCACGCCTCACCCTGCTGATCCCGAGCCTCCGGCCCAACTCTTCTTCAGCAGGCGAGGCCGGGCGCAGGGGCCATGCCCAGGACTGGAGGCCAGCCTCAGCGCTTCTCAGACCCCGGCTCAAAATAAAAAGCAGAACGAAGAAGAGCAGGGGCAGCTCGGCGTCAACCCCCGCGCCCCCCCAGGCCACCGCTGCCAGGGAGGGGAGGGGGGAGACCCCTAGACCCAACAGAGGGAAAAGGGGGGTTCAGAGCCCAGGAGGGAGTTGGGGGCAGGAGGCAGTGAGGAGGGCAGAATAGTTCCAGCAGATTCCAGTGGGCTCCTGCCCAGCAGGGGGGGGCATGGGGGCCCAGCTGGGGGAGGGGGCGTCAGAGGCCCAGGGGGATCCTGGCTGGACCCACCTGGCGGGTTCTTGCTGGAACGGAGCCTAAGCACAAGGTCAGGCTGGGCACCGAGCCCCACAGAGGTCTGCCTGAGGGCACAGCCTGCCACCTTCCATGTGTGGACGGCCCGGAGGGCCCACAGGGCCAGACAGCCCCACCCTGGCCCAGACCACAGGGTCTGGAATGTCCCCAGAGGCCGGTAGGGGGCCTGGTCTTCGGCTGGGCACTATTGGGAGGTGGTGGAGCCTTTCCCCGGGGGCCACCTGGGAGTGGACGGTGGGCCTGTGGCTCCCTGCTTTCTCCCTCTGCTTCCCGGTCCTGGTGGGAGCTGCCCAGTGGTGCCCGGCCCTGCAGCCCACACGGGGCTGGTCCCACCGAGAAGGCTCTGAGTGTGCCCGGGCTGATCACTTCCCAGCGGTTAAGTGCTGTGTGAATGTCGAGGTCCTGGGACCTTTTCCTGCCAGTCAGGGGCAGCGGGTGGAGATGGCTGGAGGGTGGGAAAGGCGGGCTGGTGTGCTGACGGGTGACAAATCCCACCATTAGGACAACTGTGATGCACCCATTTTAAAACGTGGAGAAAAAGTAAAAAATAAAATAAAATAAAATAAAAAGGCTGGGTCTGGCTCTGAAGATGAGGAAGGGGACTCTAGGATTTGGATGAGGTGGAGTGGACCCTCCCAGGAGCCCAAGAGGGACCTGCCCTGCCCCACAGCAACTGTATGGAGCTCAGGGAGGCCGGTGAGGGAGGGACTGTCATCAAGGGGAAGGGGCCAGCCATGCTCTTCCGCAGGCAGGGCCCAGGCGACCCCAGGTGCCACCGGTGCCTTTCCTGTGCCCGAGGTGGCCGCTTCCCGCTCAGCCCCGCGAACCACGCAGAGGTCAGCTGACCCGGGAGGCTCTGCCTGGTCAGGCCAGCCCTCCCGTGCCACGACAATGGGCAGTCTCAGACGACGACCAGAGGAGACCGTGGAAGGAGCCAAAGGGGCGCTCCGCACGGGACAGCGCGCAGCTCCCTGCCCCGGGCTTTGCGCGACCTGGTCGGCAGCTCCCTGCCCTTGGAGCCCGGGAGCCCGCCGGGCGTCTCGCTGCTGGACCCGGGCTGGGTTTCCCTTACTGACCTCACGGTCCCTAGAAGGGAAAAGGACCTATTTTGTGTGGAAACCGGGAACGTGGCTGCGGCGCACACGCGCACTCCACCGCGGCGCTGCCCAGCCCCGCCCCTCCCTGGACACACCCCTGACCGCGCCTGGTGGGAGACGGGCCGCAAGGCTTCTGAGCTCAGGCGGCGCCCACCGACCGCGGGCTGCTGTTGGAGGCAGGGCAGGACAACAGGACACGGAGAAGAGAAGTGTTTTCAGCAGCTGCAGGGTTCTCGGGCCTGCGCCGAGCTGGGCACACCCGCGCTGGGGAAGCTGGTGTTGACCTTCCTACGTTTTTTCCCCTTGATGCTGCCCGGAGCCCAGGACCTCAACACGCTGGGCAAGTGCTCCGCCACCGACCCACACCCCAGTTTTTTTTGGAGACAGGATCTCGCTGAGTTGCCCAGGCTGGGCTTGACCTTATGGTCCTCCTGCCCCAGCCTCCTGGGATGACAGACATGGCCACCCCCAGGTTGAGTCTTAGCTGTCATCACAAGGCGCTTTATAAGAGGAAAGCTTGGCAGATACGGAGGACAGGTAACAGTGGAGGAGGGGACAGTAGTGATGTGTCCACAGGCTAGTGGATGCCAGAAGTCCCCAGCAGCCGGGAGAGGCAGGAGGGGCCCGCCTCTGCCCACCCTGCACTCTGGTTTGCAGCCCTGGGTGGGAGGTCACTTGTAGCAGTGTCACTGTTGGGGTCCCCCACAAAGGATTGAGCCAGACCTGTAGGAGTAACGGGCAGAGCGCAGGTCCACCGGAGCTGGAGGGTGGCGCTCTGGGAGGCGCAGCGGAAAGGCCAGCGAGAGGGGCGGAGGCCCACGTGGGCATCTCCTGTCCTGCGCGCTGGGCGGACCTGACTGAAGACCGAATCCCACCAAATTCTTGTCAGTTATCATGAGCCATGAGCCCTCCTGGCCAGAGTCGTCACCGTGACGGACACCATGACTCATGTCCAGTCTAGTCCTCCACTACCCTGCCTCCCATCACGGAGACCCTGAACTCCAGCCTACAGCCAGAGACGGCCCAGCTTCCTGGCTGCTGGGCTCCCAGCTCAGCCAGGCCTGGCCCTCCCGACCTCGTCCTGCCAGGGCCATGGCAGCTCACGGGGACCTGGCCCGGCTTCCCAGGCTCCCAGTCCCTCCCACCCCTGCACAAAGCCCCGGCTTCCACCCCCAGCGCCACAAAGAACAAAACCACAACCCAAACCACCCCCGAAGGACCCTGGCCCTCTCTTGTGCCTGGGAGCTGGGCCGTGGGCACTCTCAGAACAGGGCGGCTCGCAGGGTGCTGGTCATGAAGGAGCAGAGCTGCCCACTGGGCACCTGCTGCAGTTCAGAGGTGACCGACACCCTGCCCAGCTGCCACCTGGCAACCAAGGCCCAAAGCCCCTTTTGGAGGGGTGAGAACGTTCCAGAACTAGATGGCTGCATGTTGTGCAGGTTCTCAGTGCCACCGCACGTGCTCCCGGGGTTGATTCTGCCTGGCACCGTGGCACACGCCTTCATCCCAGCCACTTGGGAGGCTGAGGCACAAGGATCACAAGTTCAAGGCCGGCCTCAGCAACTTATTGAGGCCCTGCCTCCAAGTAAGAGCTTCGAGGGTGGAGCTCCCCTGCGTTCAATCCCGGGTACAAAAAAGGGTCACTTTCATGTTGAGTGACTCTCACCTCAATTACAAAACCAGCCTAGTCCTGAGCTTGGCTGACGCTCAGGCCCCCCGCGGGGCCCCTCTCCACCTTGCTCTGCGGGCTCCCCCAGCCCGTCCTGCCTCCAGGCCTGGTCCTGGGCGGCCCCCCACCTGCTGCCGGGCACCCGCAGCTGACCCAGCAATGCCAGCCCTCCAGGGGACTTTTCACCCAGCATCCCAGGATGCTCATCAGGGTGAGCCCACACTGCCTGTCCCCACCCCCTACCTGGCAGAGATGTGTGACTGCTGCCTCGGTACCTCTGTCACCCAGGGTCCTGGACCTGCAGCCAGCAGACGCCAGGCCTCAGGACTGCCCACTGAGGAAGGGGACGGCCACTGGAGGTGGGAGAGGGTCAGGCCCCAGACTCACTCCTCACCGTGCGTGTGACCCTGGGCAAACCGTGTCATCTCTCCCTGCCTCGTTCCTCCTCTCAGTCACACGGGGGCTGTGTGAGACGGATCGTAGGCTGCTACCCATGTTGGCTACCGTATTTATCATCATTATTTTTGGTGCTGGGGATGGAACGAGGGCCTCACACATGCTAGGCAAGCGCTCCATTGCTGAGCTTGTGCCCAGCCTTTTTTTTTTTTTGGTACCAGGGATTGAGCTCAGGGGCCCTTGACCCCTGAGCCCCATCCCAGCCCATTTTGTATTTTATTTAGAGACAGGGTCTCACGGAGTTGCTGAGCACCTCCTGTCTCAGCCTCCCAAGCCACTGGGATGAGAGGCGTGCGCCACTGCACCCGACCCCAGCCCTTTTTACTTTATTCTGAGACAGAGTCTCACTAAGTGGCGGAGGCGGAGGCCGCCTCCAACTTGCATCCTCCTGCCTCAGCCTCCGGCACGGTTGGGGTGACAGGTGTGGCCACCTCACCAAACCTGTGATTGTTTTTTCACCCACTGAATCGGTTTGGTTCCAGAGAGCCTTGGGGCCAGAAAGCACCTGGCGTCACAGAGAGCAGAGCCGGGGGCCCTGGGTGCACCTCGGGGCCGCCCTGCGGATGGGCAAGAGAGCAGAAGCCGCGGGAGCTGACTTCGGGGGCTCCTCCCTCCCCCGGCCCCTGCACCGCCCCACCTTCCCTCTGGACACACACAGGCCAGCCCTCCCTTCTAGGTGAGAGTTTATTATGTCCCACACCCCCCAGCGCATGGAGATGGCGTCTTCACATCACGACAGGATCACGGTCACTTCTGTGGTCAAGAATCACAAAACTCGCCTTCAGAGGGTGCACGTGCGAACTGCCACTCTCGGGTCACAAGAGAGGAAGCCAACGTCCCCTGACGAGGAGGCCTGGGTCCACTGCCTCTCAGCCACGCCGCTCCCCAGACGCAGCTCCACCGCCAGGCCCAGGTCCGGGCGGCGTGTCCTGGACAGGGCCTGCGCCCGGGCCGTCCAGACTCACCTGGCCACAGGGGGCCCCGGAGATGCGGCCTCCCGCTCTCTGGGCCTTCTTCCCTCTGGAGGGTCTGCTGTGGCCGGGAGGGGTCCTCGGCCACTCGCCTGTGGCTGCTGGTGATCCGAGGGGCGGTGGGTGCACTGGGCAGAGCCCGGGCCCCTGGAGGCGGATGGGCCTCCCTCACGCCGTCGCCCGCCGCTGTAGGCACTGGTTGTGGGAGGGTAGAACGGGCCCGTTCTGTCCCTGGCTCCTTCGTCCCACTGGGGGAGAACCCGGTCTTCAGTGAGGACGAGGCTTGGGGGTCACGGTCCTGATGGGCAAGGAGAGTCGCCGCAGGCAGCCTGCCCTGGTCATCCGGACTGAGCCGTGGTGGCTGCGTGGCATCTGCCGGGGCCTCCCGGAAGGGCCTGCGCTGTCCTGCCCAGGCTGTGGAGACGCACCCGGCTGTGGGGGCGCGGGGCCTTCCGGGCCTCCTGTGGCTCTTGCTTTGCGGGGACCATCAGCAGAGCCCCGGGACCAGGTGCTGTGGGAAGAAGGGCTGCCCTGTGTGGTCAGTGAGGGATGGCCCTGGGCAGCAGGGTCTGGGGGTAGCCGACAGAGGCCTGTCTCCTGGCAGCAGCCACCTCAGGCCCCAGGTGACATGTCTGTCCTGGGACACCATCACTGTCCTCGTCCTTTATCTGACACCTAGGAAATGGCGATTTAAACCTCTCCATCCCCCAGGGTCCAGCCTCCCTAGGTCAGAAGTGGGTGTCCCCCAGGAGTGTCCCCGGCACAGCACAGTCGCTGGTGACGGGCTCCCAGGCCCGTCGTCCCACATGGCACCTCGTTGTGCAGCCCCGCCGAGCGGCCGTGACCACCACGGTGCCCCGGACAATGTGGGAGTAACCAGACATGCCCCTGCTGGGCCAGGTCCACACCCGCCGGACATTCCACCGGGCCAGATCACCTGGACATCGATGGCACTTGCTGACGCGCCCACTGCGGAGGTGCCTGCTGGACTTTTGCTTGGGTTCATCGGGGACAGAGACACGGCCTGGAGGGCCACCGGGGGCCACTTTGCGCAGACAGCAGACACTGCGGGTCCTGGGCTTACGGAGCCTCCTGAGGCCTGGCCCTGGCAGGTCTGTCCGTCCTCCCTGGAGGAGGACCAGGTCCGAGCTGGGAACAGGGTGCCCCCCGCTCAGCACCTGGGACTTATTTCCCACCATCTTCAGGCCTCCTCCTGCAGCCTCCTCTCCCAGGTCTGCACTTCCAGAACCCGCCTGGCCCACAGCTGGCTTCTCTGTCCTCGTGGGAAGCCTGTGGGGTGTCCCCACCTGGCCCGGGGGTCTTGTCCCCTTGGAAGGAGGTCCTGGCTGGGTGCCCGTGGCGTGGCGATCCAGTTACAGGGCGTGAGCGGGTTCTGGTGGAGGCCGGTGGGTTTTGCCGCTGGACCAGGCTTGTCGGCAGCCGTCTCACTCATGCCATCAGCTCAGTGTCTCCCAGGGAGAGGGGGTGTCCTTGGAGGTGACAGGGGCAAGGCGAATGACAATCCAGGGGTGTGAAGTGAGGCTGAGGTCAGGCGACGCCCAGGCCTGGCCCTCGGGGGCCACGTTCCAAAAGGAAGGGCACCGGACAAAACAGGGAGCCGGGTGGACAGAGGGACCTCCACCTGTGCCCAGCACTGGCCAGGGCCAGCTAGGACAGCAAGAGGTGTCCTGTAGCCTCAGGGCCTGGGGCAGGGGCAGGGGTCACCAGGGCCCTCTGGAAGCGGGAAGAGCCGAGAGCCGGACCTTCTCCGGACACTCTAGCATGGCCTCGTTTTTAAAAAAATAAAATAAAATGTTTTGAAGCAGCTGAAAAGAGGCTGGGGCTCAGAGATGGTGGGGACAGGGACGGCCGGGGACAGGGACGGGCGCGCAGGTCCGGGCTGCAGGGCGTCTGGCGGGTTTCTTTAATCTTCTTTGTCTTCTCCACGCTCAGCCGCCTCAGGACATGCTGGGGACACACATAGGACAGCTAAGTGGAGAAGGCCCTTCCCCAGTGTGGGGTCCAGCCCAGAGCCTGTCCAGCAGGAGTGGCTTCTGCTCTTCACGGCAGGTCACCTGCCACCCACCATGTCACCTGCCACCCACCCATGTGGCTTTGACAGGAGCCTCCCTCCTGGTGCCCGAGTGGAAGAACAGGTCCCAGGGACTGCGGTCCTCGTCCAGACTGGACGGAGGTGTCCACCCACCCTCCCACCATCCTCCACCCCCTACCCACCCACCCACCCACTGACCACCCGCCTATCCCTATCCATCTGTCTGTCCTCCTTCCTTCAACATCATCAACTGTCCACCAGACACTCTCTGGGGATTTTGAAGATGAGGACACGTTTAAAAGTATAAAAAGGCAAAAGAAGGACTCATAAGGGTACAGGTCGGTGATGTCACCTGGTCACGAGCAACCAGCCCGTGTGACTGCACCCCTGCGGTACAGGGCAGGGTGACGGGCTTGGGTGACCACTGCCCCGCACTCCCGGGGCAGCACCCCTCGCCCCCAGTAAGCCATGGTGCACTGTCCCAAGGCTGGGCTCCACTCGGAATGCTCGGAAAAGGTCACCAACCACCCAGCGTCACACCCACCTCGTTTCCTGATCCTCGGTGACCAGGTCAGGCCTGTGGGAGAAAGGAGACTCGGTGCCATTTACCTGTCTGGTCAGGACTGGGGCCCGCGGGGACTGACTCTGCCTGGCCTTGGTCTGGTACAGAGAGGTGTCACCTGCCGGGTGACAGATGAGCCAGGCCCCTCACCGCTGCCAGGAGTCTCCTAAAGCTGCTCGGGGCTCACAAGCCTGGGGAGGCTGCGTCTATGCACCAGGACGTTGACAAGGTCACCTTCTAGAACCTTCTCTGAGAGCAGAACTTGGTCTCCTGGTGTGTGCTGATGGAGGGACAAGGAGGGGACGGTCCCTGTCGGAGGCCCTGACCTTGGGAAGCCCCGAGGACAGAAGACGCGGAACAGGTGACCAGGGAGCTATCTTAACTTGCTACACACCAAGGTCACTGTCAGCGGTCCCCAGAAACGCGTGTGCCCGTCACCGGGCTTGGCTCCTGTGGCACTGGGGGACCATCTGGAAAGAGCCTCGGGGCCCTGCGGCCGGTCCCTAGGCTGGGCCAGGCGCTGGGGGCCAGCAGCCCCTGGGTGTCACCTGTCGCCCCGTGGCCACCTGCACACTTACCTGTCCTCCTCCGACGCTGCCTCTGCCCTCTCCTCAGGCCTGGGCAGGAGGAACTCTGGCTGCGGCCTCGCGCTGTGGACAGAGAGCGCCAGGTGACGAGGTGGGCCAGCGGGCTGTGTGGCCCGGGCTGTGTGGCCTGGGGACGGTTCAGGGTGGTCGTGCTGGGCCCGGGGTGGAGACGGGTCACTGCCGTCCAGTAGGGGCGTGTCCTGGTCATGGGCAGCCCTAGAAGTGGGCCTGGGGGCACCGGGGAGGAGGACCCTGGGCCCTGGCTTGGGGCGGGCTCTGGGTGGCTATTCCACAGACGCTGTGGCACCTGCTGTCTGCCTGTCCATGTCTCAGTTGAGGACCGGGCAGCACAGTTCACAGGGGAAGGTCAGGGGCAAGGACAGGTGGACAGCACTGTGGGCAGGCCAGGAGCTGGCGGCTCAGCGCTGGTGGCTGTGGCAGGGGAGAGGAGGCAGGAGGGGCCTCAGGGGCCACAGTCCCACTGTGGGGACATGCTCAGAGGAGTGGACTGCAGGGAGGTGGACAGCCCTCGTGCCCAGGTGAGGGGCGTGAGGAGGGGGTGGCACCTGCTACCTGCCACCCCTGCTACTGGACCTGGGACGTGGTGTCCACTGAGAGCCAGCCGCAGGGACCCTCTCCTGGGAGTGCCCGAGCCTTGGAGCCATTGAGACGGGGGAGGGGGGCCTGGTGGGCACCGGGGGGTGGGGAGGCCCCAGCTGGTGTGGAGGGGCCAGAGCTTCAGCCTGGGGAGACGGAGAGCCCTGGAGAGGGAGGGGGACGGTGCGTGGCCCGGGGTCTGCCCCATGCCCTGAGCCGTGCCCCTAGACAGGGGCGGGGGTCCGTTTTATGTTGTGTCTGTTAATCACGACAAGGACAGGCGGGAGGAGAGAGGCGGGAGGGGGAGAACCTCCCCTGCACGACAGGCACCAGAGTGCTCCTGGACAGTCCATCTGCCCAGGGCACTCCTCCCTGGGGTCCTTCCCTCACCCAGGGAGGCGTCTCTGTCCTCTGCTATTTGGTCCAGGACTGTCATATTCACCTCTGCTTTCCCTGAGCCTTCATGACCCACCAAGAGCCCCAGCTCTCTCATGGACTTGCTGTGGGTCCTCGGGCAGGTGCCTTACCCTCTCTGAGCAACTCTCGGCGGTTGTGAAAGCATCCAGCAGCTCTGTGTAAGTGGGAAGGGCTGAAACACCCCTGGAAGTCTGTGCACGCTGCTGGTGGTTGTGCCTGGGTGGGGCGAGGGCCAGGCCTGCCTTCCCTCTTCTGCAGAGGGAGGGCTCAGCCCCAGGGCAGCCAGGGTCCTGCGCTCGGGGCACCCTCCCCGCTTCCCAGGACACCCTCCAAGGTGCTTCTAAGAACTTCCCTAAAGCCACCCTGTGGCTGCGTGGGGGAGCGAGGACCCCACCTGGCCCACCAGCAGGCCCTGTCCTGAGCCCAGCGTGGACCAGTAGGCCACCCCTGGAATGACAGCCCATGCCTCCCCCGCCGGCAGCCCCCGCCCGGCAGCCCCTCAGGGCTCTGCACACACCTCTCTCTCCGCGCTCTGAGTCTTTCCTCTTCGTACCTGAAAGAAAGAAGCCGAGGTGGGCGCGGCCTGCTTCCCGGTGGGTTCTTGCTGGGGAGGGACCCTCTCGCGCTCTCTGTGCTGGGCTGGAGCCCGGGACTCTGCACATGCGAGACGGTGCTCAGCGGGAGCCGCACCCCAGCCCTCTAGTTTGGGGCAGAGAAAGGATCCTGTGCTTTGGCTGCCCGCCCGGGGCTGCAGAGCAATAAGGAGCCCCCAGCCCGCCGCTGGGCGGCCACCTGGCCCGGCGCCTCGCCTGCCAGACCCCGAACGGGAGGGTCAGTTCCGCTGGCGAGTCCAGCCTCTGCACAGAGGGGCGCTTGGCTGATGGGTTTTGCCACCAGCGATTGGGCAGGACCCTCCATCACCAGGCCCCGGATGCTCGGGAGGCAGGGCCCACATCCAGCTCCACAGTCGTTCCCTGTGAAGGGCCCCGAATGCGAGCTCCCAGCTTCAAGCCCCAGGCAGTCTGTTCCGACTGCGCCCCTCGGCCACCACCGCAGAAATGCAGTCACCAGTGACTGGTGACCCAGGGGTGTGCCGCCACGTCAATACAACTTTATTGATGGGGCTGGGACTGTGGCTCGTAGGTAGAGCGCTCGCCTAGCACGGGCGGGACCCGGGTTCGATCCTCAGCACCACATGAAAATAAAGGTATGGTGTTGTGTCCATCTACACCTAAAAAATGAATATTTTTTTAAAAAACTTTATTTATAAAAATAAGCAGAGGAGCCAGGCATGGTGGTGCACGCCTCTCATCCCAGCAGCTCTTGAGGCTGAGGCAGGAGGATCCTGAGTTCAAGGCCAGCCTCTGCAATGGCAAGGCACTGAGCAACTCAGTGAGACGCTGTCTCTAAATAAAATATATAAAAAAAAGGGCTGGGGCTGGGGCTCAGTGGTTGAGAACTAGCACAAGTGAGGCATTGGGTTCAATCCTCGGCACCACATCAAAACAAACATCTACAACTAAAAAAATTATTTAAAAAAGGGCTGGGGCTGTGGCTCAGTAGTTCAGCACCCCTGGGTTCAATTCCTGGTACGATATATACATATAGAATGCCACAGATACCTTTTTTTTTTTTTTAAATGGTGCTGGAGATGCGCCCTGGGCCTCACTCATGGCCAGGTGAGCTCTACCACTGAGCCTCACCCCAAATCTTGGATGCATTTCGATGATTAATGTCCAGGTTGCGAAAATATATTCTCAGCAGAGACCAAAATGTAACTATGGGGAGCGGATGCACATAAAGCCTGCTTCCTGCAGCGCTGGGGCACAACTCGGGCTTTCGAGACTCGCAGTCTGGTCACCGTGTGACCTCAGGGAAGGACAAATTGTGATGGCTCCTTTGAGATGCAGGAACAAATCGGGATTTTTAATGTGGCCAGTGGGAAGGGGACATGGGGCGGCTGCTGGGGAACCGAGCCGTGGTTCCTCCACAGCTGGACGCGGAGTCGCCTCCGAGTCTACTGCTGGGCCCACCCGTGAGAGCTGGTGGGGTCTCCAGGGAGCACGTCCAGGTCGCAGCCACGGGGTGGAGAGGCCGACACCCCCACCAAAGTGGGGCTCAGGGTGCGGCCAGCCACACACGGGTGTCCCTCGGTCTTAGCGGAAGGGCACCCAATGCCTGCTGCCTGTGACGGACCTGGGACACGGTTCTCAGTGACACAAGCCATACCCAAGGGACACCTGGCAGCCTCCACCCCAGGGGATCCCTGAAGTCTCAGAGCCACAGAGAAGCAGCGTGGCGGGAGCCGGGCTCGGGGGACAGGAGCCAGGCTGGGGGGACGGGAGCCGGGCTGGGGGGCGGGAGCCGGGCTCGGGGGACAGGAGCTGGTGTGGAGGGTCAGAGCTCCATCCTGGGGGACGAGAAGCTCTGGAGGGCTGGTGGGGACGGCCGCTCAGCCCGAGACTGCCCCGTGCCCCTGAGCTGTGCTTGGACGCGGGCAACATGGTCAATTTCGTGGTCTGTGGGTTTACCACAGTTTTGAACCTGATGCTGAGGAGCGTTGGGTGGCATGGAGCCTTGGGGACCTGTTGACATTATTCTTAGTGAAAAAAGGGCAGGATGCGTGGCTTGCCCCCCCTATCCCCCCCCCACACCTGGCCGGACCCCAGGGGCTCCCAGCATGGGGGACACTCACTGCAGCACACACTCTGGGATCTGCACGTGCTCCATGGGGATCAGCTGCTCCAGGTCCTCCAGGCTGTGCACGTACTGGATCTTGCTGATGAACTTGACACTGCAGGACGGGGGGCGTCTGAGTGCCCAGAGAGCCCAGGAGCCCTCCCCGGAGCCCAGCACTGCCCAGCCAGGGACGGGCTAGGGACTGCAGCGCTTTCGCTCCTCGGCCGATTTCCCCAGGGATGCTTTTCCTCGGAGGCGCTGCCCGCGAGGACACCACGGCCACTCGGGCACGGGAAGCGGTTGCAGGCCTCTGCCTGCTCCTCCTCCTCCTCCTTTTCAGTGCTAGGAGCTGAGCCCACTGCGGAGCTGCCCCTGCCCTGTTTATTCGTTTATTTTGAGATGGTGTCTGGCTAAGTCGCCTGGACTGGCCTTGACCTTGCGTCCTCCTGCCTCAGCCTCCGGTCACCGGACTGCCAGTGCATGTGCCAGCTGTCACAGCCCGTCCTGGGGACAGTGCTCGCTTCCTGTTGGAGCCTGGGCTCCGGCTGCGGCAACCCAGGAGGCACCTCATTGGCAGCGCGGGGCTCGGACTCATGGCTGCTTTGTTGTTTTTTTTCCTTTAATTAAAGTTACATTTAAGAAACGCCATGAAAGCTTTTCAAGGTGGCATAGCAAAGTCGTCACTGAGAACTGGGCTGTGGGAGGAAGGCCAGGCCCGGGCGGGCGGCCGCAGGGCTTTGTGTCTGGGCTTCTGGGTTCGGACGTCCCCTGGAAACGGCTCAGCTTCCTGGAGGGCTCTGGGGACACAAGAACGCTGTGCCCGGCGGAGGCCCAGGGCCAGGGCAGGAGCAGAACCTCTGCAGATGTTTCCTGGCCGTTGCTGAGTGGCCATCTGTGTCGCGGGGCAAGGAGGACGCTTCTGCGAACTTCAGATTTATTTCGCAATCTGAAAGCCCCTGGAGCAGTGTCCCAGGACCAGAGGCCCCAGCAGGTGGCATGACAGGGCCAAGGGCCGCCTGGAGAGGCCGCGGCTCCGGCCATCTCGGCGCGCTCCCCCAGAGCCTCGGAGAGTCCTAGACCATCAGTCAGCACTACAGCCTGGAGCTGCTCCCCAGGCCGGCCCCAGCCTCACAGTGACAGGGACACAGTGCCACCCCACCATCAGGAGCCGAGTCTCCTTCCCTGAGGGGACTGGGGGACATTCCACCCAGGCCGGGCGCTCAGTCCAGCTTGCCCCGACGGGACAGCGGGTCCTCAGCACCGTGGGCGCTCGGCCGCCTGCAGCTGCCCTTCCGGGCTCCCGGCTTCTCCTGGGGAGCTCTTGCGCCCACCATCTCCTTGGAGCCCCCAAAGAGACCCAGGAAAAGAAACCCAAAGTGACAGAATTGCCCCCGTTAAGGGAAAGGCCCAGCCAAGGCAGCCTGAGGGGCGCAGGGCGGGCGCCAGGCCCCCACCCTGGAGGGCACGTTCGGCCAAAAATTGGTCATTAGCATGATCTGCTCAGCGCAAAAATAAACACACATTAGCGCAATATGCTAATACACACGCAACCTGCATGTTATGCAAATAAAGGTGTGTGGATCAGCCCCAGGAGCCGCCCTGACAGGCCCTTGAGGCAGACCTGAGCTGGGGGCGCTGGGGCAGGGCCGGCCCTAGCTCCCCCAGAGCCCCCCTAACTCCCCCAGAGCGGCTCAGCCTGAGACTGAGGGAGCCAAGGACCTTGGTTGAATTCAGTGTCTGAATTAAGTCAATTGAACCTGCGAGACGTGGCCCGGGGTCACTCAGCAGACCTGGGGCGCTGGGTCCAAACCGTCCAGAGGAGGGTGACCTGGGGGCCCTGGAGCGTCCCATCTAGTAACAGGTCTTTGTTGACTGGGGGCCTGACACCTGGTCCCTGCTAAACATGGGACTCGTGGGACCCTGGCGGAGCTGGAGTCTGGCCAAGGTCAGCCCCACAGGGGTTTTGCCTTGTGTGCATGGGCCCCCGACAAAAATCCTGGGTGCCCCATTGCTGGGAGAGTGAGGAGGGTCCCCGAGTGAGCCCCAGAGGGGACACGGGCTGCGTGGGCTCTGCGGGGCCTCCTCCCGTCTTCTCTCGGGTTTTCATCTGTATCTTTGGCTGGAATGACCGCGACTGAGCGCAGCAGCTCCCCCGAGTTGGTCTCGGGCCGCAGCCCACCCAGGGTTCACGGCCCAGAGGGTCCCAGGAGTGGAGGGGGCTGGCTGGATGACACTGTCCGGGGGACCCATGGGCCCACGCAGGTTCTGCAGTGGGTGGAGCCAGGCTCGCCTCCCGAGTGGCCTGGCCGTCTGACTCTCGGTGAGTTCTTGACCCTCCCGGGCCTCGGTTTCCCTGTGCCCGAGACTGGGGCCTGACAGCAGCCTCTCGGGTAACGGTCGCAACTGGTGAGAAGTGCGCGGCGCTCAGTGTGTGGAGCCGCGGTGGCTGCCAGTCCCCCTGCGGGCCCACGCCCTGCCCACACGCCCAGGTGGAGGTCTGAAGTGGGGCCAGGCACAGCGGCCGTGGCTGTCCTCCCTGTGGTTGGGAGGCCGAGGCAGGAGGATCGAGAGTCCAAGGCCAGCCCGGGCGACTCAGCAAGGCCCTGAGCAACTAAGCAAGACCCTGACTTAAAATAAGACAAAAGGGCTGGGGTCCAGCCGGGCGGGGGCCCCCAGTCCACCCCAGCGCAGAAAACCAAAGGAAAATAGCAAGTGCGGGGAGGGGGTGTTCCAGACTCCAGTCTTAAGGCATTTTGGAATATTTGCATATGTGTGATCCTGTTTTTGGTGAATCTGCGTTTTGACTGAGAAGCGTCCCGGGGTCGGGATGGAGATGGCCACTCGCAGCCTCATTCCACTGAACGAGGAGCGGGGCTTTAGATTTTGGATTTGGGATTTGTGCACTGGGTGAGCCTGGTCAAGGCAAGGGCAGCTAGAGACACACCCTGCAACCCACCGCTGCCTGTCGCTGGCCACTGGCCGCTGGCCTTACCTGATGAAGGGGCGGGAGATGGCCAGCACGGTGCGAATGAACCAGGAGGGGTGGACGATGATCAGGGACTTCAGGTTCTTCCGCAGTCTGTGTGGGAGGCACAGGAGACCAGTGAGCCCGGGCAAGCCCTGGGGAGGTGGGAGGGCCACCCACCGCCTGGCCGCGTGGCTCTGGTGGCCTGCCCTAGGGCTGTGAGTTGGGAGGGACCCACTGTAGTAGCCAGGGGCCTGGTGGGCAAGGCATAAGCTGCTGAGACTTGTCACCATCCAGTGTCCTGGATGGTGAGGGCCAGGGTGGCCTCTGGTCACATGGAGCTGGGCGCAGGGCCCCGCCTGTCCTCCCAGCCGGGATGCCCCTCCTGCGGAAGGAGAGGGCTCTGATGCCGCTGCCGCTGGAGGGACTGAGGAGGAGGAGCCACCCGGGGGCAGAGCCCGTGCAGGGACCCGCCCCGCAGGACCTTCCTACAGGAGGCCCTGGAGGCCAGGCTCCGGATGGGCAGCAGCAGGGGCGCCAGGGCTGAGGGCAGCTGCACAGGGAGCGCCTTCACAGCAGGCGTCGTGCAGTTAAAGGGACAGCAAAGGTGCGTCCCCCTTATCCTAAATGACTGCTGTCCTTAAGGGAGAACCTGGGCACAGACCCCGGGAGACGCTCTGCGCAGACGCAGGTGGAGGCTGGGCCTCACTCTGCCGAGGACGCCAGAGTCACAGACTCCAGCCGACGCTGGGCAGGGTCTGGACACTCCTGTTTGGGCCCAGGGGCCAGGCCGGCCCATCTGGGCTCCAGGACGCAGCGTAGCTGTTGGAGACTCCACCTGCTCCCCGCTCCCTCTCCCTCGGCAGCCCCGGCAGCGCCGTCCACCTGCCCACCCTGGCTTTGCACGCAGGCCGGCCCTCACCTCCTGTCAATCATCTGGTAGCACTTCTTCAGCCAGCCGAGGCCCGGCATCCTCCGCCGGGGCGTGGCGCCGTTCAGGTACACGATCATGTAGTCCTCCGCCACCAGAAGCTCCAGGCTGCTGATGACGTACCTGGCGGGGGGACAGGGCAGCGCCCGGGGGCGCCCAGTGTGAGGACACCCACGGGGCCGCCCTGGCCTGGCCGGCGGGTCTGCACAGGCTGGCCCCTGTCCTGGAGGCTGGGGAGACGCCGTGGGCGCCCCACAGCAGCCGCGGCTGTTTTATTGAGCATTTACTAGGTGCCAGTCACTTGGTGTGCACACTCTCATTCAAGGTTTCCCGAGACCCACCCTAAGAATGGGTGTGGCCCTGTCCATCCACAGCTACAGAGGCCTGCGTGGGAACACAGTCCACCTGCTCTGGAGGCTGGAGGCCCGCCTCTCCCTGTGTGATTTCACATAAATGCCCCCAGCCTCGGCCTCTCATCTGGGGAGACTGGGCCCCGGGACACGTGGGCAACTTCCTGCGCTGGCCTTCGTGGGCACCTCCTCTGGTCTGAGGGGCCTCCCAGCCTCCGTGGAGAGCCCCCCAACCCGGCTGGGCAACGGTGGATGTGGACGGCAGGTGGTGGGGGGGAGCAGGAGAAAGGCCATGGGCGGCTGCTTGCGCCCTGGCCTGCCCTCGGGGACGTCTGTGTCTGACTTGCTGACAGCCCTGGGGGTCAAGGGCACGTGGAGAGCGGGCGAAGGTGGAGAGAGAGCTGGGTGGAGGAGACCCGGAGAGAGGGAGCGAGGTCAGGGTCGGCCTGTCACCGAGGACTCTGGGGCCAGGTCTCTCCTGCAGCGGGCATCCTAGGCGCTGCCGTGGGTGGAGCAGTGTCCCTGGCCTCCCACGCCATGGGCGCCCCCACACTGCCCAGGCCACTTTTTCCTCACCAAGCCCTCCTCTGTGTAGGGTCCAGCCTGGCAGCCGAGTCCCGCTGTGCGAGGAAATCTTAGTAATAACAAAGGTAAGAGCCGCCACGACTCCTGCGCTCTTAGCGTTACCTGCTGGGTGCCTGCCACCAATCAGCCCTGGCCGTCACAGTGGGGCTGCCCTGTGTGTCCCTGGTGGTTCATGACCTCTCTGTGCCTGGATTCCCCACCTATAGAATGTGAGGCAACGGGACCCACCACCTAGGGTTGTGGTCAACACGGGCCATGCTGGCATACAGGAAGTGCCTCGCCTCGTGCTGCCACACTGTAAGTGCTCAATAAATGATGGTGATGACGGTGAAGGCAGTGGTGATGGTGGTGATGATGGTGAAAGTGCTTGTGGTGGTGATGGTGGTGCTGGTCATGGTCATGGTGGTGGTGATAGTGATGATGGTGGTGATGGTGATGGTTATGATGGTGAAGGTGCTTGTGGTGGTGGTGGTGGTGATGGTGGTGGTGGTGATGGTGGTGGTGATGTGATGGTGGTGGTGGTGGTG